TAATCATTACTAGGTAATAATCAACAATTGTGAAACGCAGCCTGACCGGATTAAGCTACCACGATTATTTGCTCCTAAGGAATGCAGTTGTGTTCGTTGTTATTTGAAACTTCTTTTGGAATATACTTTCATTACTGATAAAATGAAACAAAATAATTGTATTTGGCGCACAAGCTTGTTAATGTGATTTTTTCAGAGAAAGATGCGCCGTCTACTTTTTAATTCAGCTAGAAAAAATGTATACAATTTTAGATTAGCTTCTCCAATAGTGTCTTTCATTTTGGGTGTTCCAACTGCCGGTGTTGAAAATCGGCATAGTCGGATTTTTCAATGAAAATATAAGCCCCCTAAAAATATTTGGTGATAATTTTTTGAAAATTTGAACCCCAAATAAGGGCCCACCAGCCGTGAAACCACCTAGGGCAATTTTTCGGATGGGCGAATTTACGACAGAATCCGGTATATTGCATCAAAATTTTACACATCAAGCAGGAACATGAGTATATCAACAATTGGCTTCATAAACATATGATCCATATACTGATTAATGGTTATGAGTATGTGTAGCTTAATCAACATATCTCTGTAAGACATTCCGTGTGTAACAGATTCTTGTATTTGATTTATTTTCTTAGACTATTGCCCCACCCCTGATTTTCCAACGCATGTTGGAGTTGCTGATTACTCTGTGACTTTTCCTGTGGAGAATGGCACTGTTATTGAGCTGAAATGTAATCCAGCACGATATGAGATGATTGGAGATCCACTGACACTATGTATAAATATGACATGGACAACAATGCCTAATTGTACAGGTGAATACTTTTACACGAGAAAATTTAGGATACGTGGAAAACAATCTTAATTGTTTTACAACCAACAATTAATGATGCATCATCATCAGTGTTTGATTAATGTATTACTTTTTTTTTCAAGAAACTACACTTGAACCAATGACTTCTACAGCTGAATATATTACTGACATTATATCATTGGAACCAACCACTGATTTGACATCATTAGAACCGACCACTGAGTTCACATCATTAGAACCAACCACTGATTTCACATCATTGGAACCAACCACTGAATTCACATCACTGGAACCAACCACTGATTTCACATCATTGGAACCAACCACTGATTTCACATCATTGGAACCAACCACTGAATTCACATCACTGGAACCAACCACTGATTTCACATCATTGGAACCAACCACTGATTTCACATCATTAGAACCAACCACTGAATTCACTTCACTGGAACCAACCACTGATTTTACATCATTGGAACCAACCACTGAATTCACATCACTGGAACCAACCACTGATTTCACATCATTGAAACCAACCACTGATTTCACATCATTAGAACCAACCACTGAATTCACTTCACTGGAACCAACCACTGATTTTACATCATTGGAACCAACCACAGATTTCACATCATTGGAACCAACCACTGAATTCACATCACTGGAACCAACCACTGATTTCACATCATTGGAACCAACCACTGATTTCACATCATTAGAACCAACCACTGAATTCACATCACTGGAAGCAACCACTGATTTCACATCATTGGAAGCAACCACTGATTTCACATCATTAGAACCAACCACTGACTTCACATCATTGGAACTGACCACTGATTTCACATTGGAACCAACCACTGATTTCACATCATTGGAACCAACCTCTGATTTCACATCATTAGAACTGACAACTGACTTGATGTCATCAACATTGCCACCTAGTACTGAAATAACATCAATGGGAACAACAACTGATATTACTAGTCCTCATACTTCAACATCTGTAACTCCCCATAAATCTACTACAGATGCTGCAACATCATTTCAAACAACAGCAGGTAAACAAATATTGATTCCTTAATCTTGTAATAACATATTACATTATACTCCTATAGTCAGGTTACCCTTTTGACAAACGTGTTTTAGCTATTTTGAGTTGTTGATAAACAAGGCTATTGTATCATATTAGTAACATCAAGTGTCATGCCATGTTGTTCTGTGTATTATATGTCTATGGTCAGCAATATTTACTTCAAATTCTATTATTGTGATTAATATTTCGTTAAAACGATTCTTCACCAAGCTGTATTTTATTTGAGTCTTCACACTATAGACATAATGCAACCTTAGTCTCCATTGAGGATATTGTTTCGACAATTTACATATATATCTGATGAATGTTCCTACAATATCAGATTTATTAATATGAGTGTAATAAATCTTATATTGTTGGTCACGAATTTGATATCCTGATTATTTAATGTATCCATACTTCAATCAGTGTATAAATCTTTATTCTGTGTCCTGGTATTAACATTTAGAGCCAAGTCAATGTAGCAATCCAGGACA